TGAAGGTGCTTATGTATAGAGAATATAAGGTTAAGTTTTTGATTTTTGTTCCAGTATAACTGTAAGTATAGTATAAAAGAAGCAATAGTAGTAGGTACTGTTATAAGTGGTAGGTTAAAATATTTTGAAAATCTATTGTAGCAGGTAGACAGATTATAGGGTTCTAATGATATTGAAAATAAATCTGTCTGGTTAGTATCTTTTACAGAGTCGCTCGTCGTATACCCGGCTCTCACAGTATTCAGAGAACTTGTAGCTTGCCCTGTACGTTGGGTCTGACCATCATTATAACAAGCCTCCAGGTAGTCTTTTTGCTCATCTAAATTATTCTATTATAAATAATAATACATATTGTGAAATGGCAAAAGGAATGAAAATAAAGTTAGAAAATTACTGGTCTTACTTTTCACAATTTTCTATGATTCTTGCACTCCTTGATTCATCAACTAAACTCGAAACCTTTAATGAAGAGGAACACCAGTTAGCTATAAATCAATTGAGAAATTTATATTCAATATATAACATTGATAAGGTAGTTATATCACCTAAACAAAAATATTTATTAGCTAGTTTTTATAAATTAATTCAAGCAAACAAAAATGAAAATGAAACAGGAGAAAATTTAAGAGATTTAACAAATGAAATAGGCACTTATCTTGCATTATCCTCAGAGCCAGATATGAGTCCACTAATATAGTAGAAGCACCATTCTTCTCGTTTTTTAACTATAGCTTCTGTCACAGCAGATTACTATGTATTTCAAGTTATAAGCATTTTGTGTGAACATGCTGTTTCCATTGCGAATCATACAATTAATCTTACACGAAACCATTTTCTCGAACAAACAACTAGAGCTTCCTTGTGCTTAAAAAATTGGTTAGAAGCTAGTATTTTAGAATAAATAAAAACATGTATATACAGTCAACTCTCTCTAAGTGCAATACAATGAGACTATATATAAAAAATTGGCCAAATATGTACTTAGAGAGATATTGCATTTAGAGAGCTAAAAATCTATAAGTGTAATATTAGTTGGGACCAAGAAAAGGCGTGTATTTACATAGGACATGTACTTAGAGGACATGCACTTAGAGAGAGTTGACTATAATCAGTATATATTATATATAACTTATTATGAATAAAATTGGAAATTTTTTACAAATAAATTTAAAATTGCATATTTTATATGACATGGTGAGTTTGGTTCAAGTTAGGCTCGGAACCAAGTCTAGATTAAGACTCGATTTATGAAGTTGAGTCGAACTGAACTAAACTTTTAATATTTCTATCGGCAGTGACATAGTAACAGTAGCAATTGACCAATCATAGTATGGGATCAGGTGTAATATTTGTGTAACCCATAAATGAAAAAAACAAAGAAATTTTTTAAAAAGTCACTATAGCTCAAAATTTTGTCTATAAACCTTTAGCATTCTAATTAAAAAAATTTTTTTGCAAAATTTTACTATATGTTATGCCTTATCCCAACCCCAACTCAACTCTAACCTTGACCCTAATGATAATTAACTTTAGCATTTATTTTGATTTCATTATATCAATAAATTTTTTACTATGTATAAAATTTGAGTGATTGATATTCACATGAGAAATTTAATTTTTATAGTAAATTGCAACAGTTAGCTATTTTCAATCATTGTTTTTAGGGTTTTCTAAAAGAAAACAATACTCGCAGGATGTAGTAAGTGTTCAGAAAATTAAATATTATGCAACAAATAAGCTTAAAATGAGATAAAAAAGTAAAATTAAAAGAATCTTGCTCACAAAGATAGCCTTTCATTTTATATTCTATAATACTTAAAGTACTATAGATCTTAACATTTCACTGATTATGAAGGTATTTTTAAGTAATATAAATATTTTTAACAACTCTATACTGATTTTAAAAGCTTTGTAACAAAAAAGAACAAAGTACTAATATGTTTTATTGTCAAAGACGAACTGTAGTCACTTATACTATGCGAACTTATAATTAGACTTGTTAGAAAATAGTTTAGTTATACTATACAAATAATTAATAAATATGTATTACTGTATTAATTGAACTAATAAAAGGTCATAGTGTGTAAATTTTATTTTTTATTGAAAATAGTATTACTACATATGCGGTAAGAAAAATGGTTTCAAGCTAATCCACTAGTTATATAGATAAGAAAAGAGACAAATTTGACAAAAAAATAACAGACACAAAAAATTAATTATCTCATGAACTATTGATCAGAATTGTAAAATTTTGGTACCATTTGATTCATCTCATTGAGATAAATTGAACAGTACCAAAATTTTACAATTCTGATCAATAGTTTGTGAGATAATTAATTTTTTTGTGTCTATTAATTTTTTTTGTAAAATTTGTCTTTTTTCTTAGCACCAGGCTCATATTACAAATTCTTGTAAAACGTTGTTGGTGCAATAAATTACAATACAGCGAAAGTGTAAATAATAGAAGAATATAATTTTACTATGAATATAGTTGCTATATATTAAAAAAAAAAGAAAAACCTTATATTACAAAATGGGATTTCTTAATTTACTCTATATTTTTATAAGATACCCTTTTTTTCAAAGATACATTTCACAGAAAGTTCTCATCTGTGCGCATCTAACAAGCTATTTTCACGTCAAGATCTTAAAAACTCCAAAAGAATCTTGTGAAAGAAAGTAAAATAATTGCCCATATCTGAAGGGTCTCATATTACCTAGTAATGTTAGTTTTTACTATTCTTTATACTGTTTGATTCATTGAAGCTCTGGCAACCTATTTGTTTTAAGAAACATTATATGTTGTGATTAAGACTTGGAAAGAAAATTTTAAAAATGTGATTTTGTCGATTTGTGTAATTTATGAAAATTATATGATAAAAAATCAGGTGTGACATCTCGATCGACTGAGACTATCACTGTATCACTGCCAGTGACAACTAGATTTTTTTAATTTTTAAAATAATATAACAATGAAACATAAGTTAAAAAAATTTTTTTATTTAATGGCCTCATGTAATCTATTGATTTAATTGGTTAGTGATCATTCAGTGCAACTCAGAAACCAGATTGTATATTTTCTGAAAAATATGTAGTACTTTTTTCCTGAGCTTGTTTCTTGCTCGTTTATACCTTCTACCAATTTTCTTGTTTATTTGGATTGATATATATCTGCTTTTTTAAATAGTTACACAATTCTATCAAAGTCATTTTTACCCCACTTGACGATTTTACCTTATGGGTCATAACATGTGGCGAATATATGTATTCCTGGATCTATGCTTATTATCCGTCTGCTAATGAGTATTTGGTCTCAAGCAGTACAGATACATGTATGTAGTATTCTTTATATCTATTTCTGGTGATGATGACGATGTTTTTTGACCTCGGGTATGAGCTTTAATGTAATGATATGCATATTGTCCGTGTTTTCTATTATAATCACGTGCTAGAATAGCAATGACTTTTGTACTTTTAATTGTCCAAGAGTTTTATTATAGGTTTCTTGTAAAATTTTCGAATAATTCTTGATTTAAAAAGAATTGCATCATAAGGTACTAGTAGAATTATTGGTGGCAGTAGTTTTTCTTCTGTTCTTTTAGTGTTAATTTTAAGTTGATTTTGTATCCTTTCTCTTTTGGTAATTTATTTTGAACATTTTACTGGTTTGTTGGAAAAGTTTATGTTATGTTCTGTATGCAAGCTTGTACTGTCGAATTGCATATGACCTAGTTTCTCTAGGTGCATTCCATCTGGATTACGTTCGATATAATCATCATTTAGACAGTTTGCTTTAACTTGTTTATAGTTAAGCTTGTCATAAAAGTGCAGCTGGGTGATTTTATTATAAGTCCATCGAACTCCGTCCATCCACCTGCAAAGTATTGCGGCCTCAGATAGAGTTGAATAAATTCTAATCTTGAGAGTTTTTAGTTCTGTTTCTCTTGGTAAAGTATAATCTTCATCATCAGGTTCAAACACAAAATATTTTTTGTTTGAACCTTGATTAGAGATATATTTTGTGGTGGTAAACCAAGAGTTAACAAGATTATCTTCCCTGGCTTGAATATTTTTGTTGGTAGGCAGCCATAAGCTTTGAGAAATAGTTTGAGGGACCATTTTCATAAATTATTTTTTCTCTAGTGTTGTTGGTTATCTTGCTCTCTTTTACGCTTCATAAGGAACTTGAACCTCTATGTATCCATTTAGAAATATGTTGTTACACATTCTAAAACAAATTACAAAATATCATATTTCTAATATTACTATTTAATTATGAAAATACACTTACTAATTAAAACAATGAAAGTTATGTTTGACATTTAGTATTGTGTAATTTGATACAGAATGTTGTAATTCTTACATACCGTTCTCAAATCTCATCACGATTACTAGCTAATTGCATCGAGAATGACGCTTGAGAAAATTTTGATTACATTATAATCAATCAAAATAAAAATTGTAATTGATACTTGAGCAATTCATTAATATTTTTCTATTTATCAAACGTCTTCGCCACTAGGTTAATATTCGGTTTGTTGTATTAAGTGAAAAAATATCGCCGAAATAGTTGAATTTGTTGCTATACGAGTAAAGGCTAAAAGACGATAAGCCTCCATAATTGTTATTGGGCTTTCTGATATTTTTTTTATTTCCCATAAAAACTTTTAGTGTAAGGAATAAACAATTGCTGAGCTGAGGAGTTTGAATTTATGACAAAGGGCGTTCTCAAGCCACAACCTCGATGTGATTAGCTCATGATCGTAATCGTGCACAACTATAATTATAATTATATTTACGTAACATTTTTGATAACGAATCTAATATGCAAATTAAGAAGTAATCAAAGTTTGCACAAAAGTTATTCTCTATGTAATTAGCTAATAAACATGATGATGCACATTTACTACGTATAATCAATCAAAATAAGAATTGTAATTGTTACTTGAGAGATCCATTAATATTTTATCAATTTTTTTTTTTTTCGTTTAAAGGCCGGGTACTATGGCCGATTTTTTTTTTTCACTTAATACAACAAACCGAATATTAACCTAGTGGCGAAGACGTTTGATA